CCTAAACCCCTAAGCCCTAAACCTGCAAACTTCTAAACCCCTAAACCCTAAGCCCTAGACCTTTTAAACCCCTAAACCCTAAGCCCTAGACCTCTAACCCCCTAAACCCCTAAACCCTAAGCCCTAGACCTCTAACCCCCTAAACCCCTAAACCCTAAGCCCTAAACCTCTACACCCCTAAACCCCTAAGCCCTAAGCCCTAGACCTCTAACCCCCTCAACCCTTTTAAACCCTAAGCCACCCGGCCAGGTCGGTCCTGACAAAGCAGTCAAAAGAGGCCGAACAAGGGAAAAAGCATCCACAAGGCTTTTGTTGCTTTGTGTGTGGGCCTTGAGATAAGTTGACGCGAAGCATCATCGCTGTCGCTACCAGTTACCACTTTCTAGAGCAATCGTCAACTTCGCGATCGTTTTGCCTAATTCTCCCTCTGACTTCAGAAGCCGTGTAGTTTGTACTGTCCGACTCGAGCCGTCCGACTCAAGGCCTGACGACAGTAGTACAGTAGGTTTTCTCCACTCGCAACCGCTATGTCCGCTCTGCCGAGAAGCGAGACAGATCCAACTGCCAAAGCCAGGACGCCGGGAAGAAGCGCGACAGATCCAGTTGTTTCGAGCTCCGGTATGGCTACGAGCAGTGCCGAGGAAGCACCGCGCTCAAGGACCACAGGAACCGAGCGACCATGTTTCAGGGGCAAGGTGGATGTCCTCGTGGCTGGCGGTTATGACTATGAGCGCTTCATCTTTCAGCAGCATGCTCAACGATTAGGCGTTGACGATGCTCTGGAATGTTGCACTCAGGCGGAGTTCCGTGCAGCACTCTTCAAGTCGCAGAGGTACAATAGAGCACTTCCCTTAATTGTCTTCCTTGGCAGTGAGTCCTGGCTTGAGGACTTGAAGAGGTATGACCTTAGCAAAAGGCCACCGTTTGTTGTAAACGTAAATGCAAGTGGGTCGAGAATTCCAGAGGCTTACCACGAGCACATGCTCTCGTCATGCACGAGGGAGGAGGTCGCAGCTTTGCTAAGCAGAGTTATCGACTGCCGAAGCCAATCAGACAACGATAGTATGGATGCCAGCGCATCTTGAGGCAGTCGTGCTTCTGGAGGTCTGTGGCTTCCCATAGTGGTATGCAGGATTCATGCAAGCTTCAGTTAACCATACGAACGAAGTCGCCGCTCCTCCTTGTCTTGTTGTTGATGTGCTCAACCTCACAACTTGGTAGATTTTCAGACTGTCTACTGGAGCTTGGGCGTGGGTCATTGCAGCTTCTTACAGTCAGTGAGGTAATTATTGTCTACATTCTCTAGCCGGGATGTTGCATCAGATGCGCTTCCGCTGCATCGGCGCGTATCCGAAAGATAACTCTTTCGGTCCGAAAACCAGCCCACGTCACGATCATGCTCCGGAGACCAGTCGCCAGTCATAGCGCACCTGCAAAGTACCTCCGGATACGTGTGGGTATACATCTGAGGCTGAGAATTCTGCGCTGTGACTTGCAAGACAAGTTCTCTGTGTCTTTATGACTTTATGAAGGCTGCGAATAAAGGGAAGTTTTCCTGACGTCTAGCACCAACACGAAAGTGCCTTGTATCCTTTTTGGTGTTCTAGTACCCTTGTCTTTTATAGTATCTCTTACAGTATCTTTTTCCCTAAACCCTAAACCCTAAAAGAAACCTAAACCTTTGGTATCCCTGAACGGGCAGGCAGTCAAGCACAAGGTGTCACCGAGACCCAGAGCGGACTCGTTTCTGCGCTGTGTCTAAACATGTCTGGGCTGTTTCCTTAGGGTTTAGGGTTTAGGTTCAGTGCTCTCCGGCCGACATGTAAAGCACAGCCCATCTCGAAGCCGTCTTCCTGAAGCGAGATTGATAACTGCAACACAAGACCCTGCGAACTAGAGGCTGGCATGAGTTCGTTTCCCACGCGTCAGGTTCGGCGGGCATTTTTCGCCATTTCTGCCTTTTGAGGTAGGTCTACCGTGTTCGGGAGACTCCACGCAAGTTTCCTCCCCCGCCCTCCTATTTTCAGTCCGGCTGCCAAAGTCAGCGATGCTGAAAGCTGCTTCTTCTTGCAGAGAGCTGTGCAGGGCCTCAGCTCTCGGGAGGCGTGTGGATTTCCAGAAAAGGGGACTTTCCGAAAAATTAGGGGTACCTTATTTTGGGGTCCTTATAATAAGGATCTACTATTTAGGGTACTATATTAGGATCCCCTATGCGATCCAGGGCTATCATAGACCCGAACTTCACAAACTAACAAGCCCACTGCGATGCCGCTGCACTGGCGAAAGACGGTCGTATCCACTTTCAGTCCTGGGTTGCTGTGGTCGTGTCTTAACTTTCGGGTTGTTTGGCTTGTGGCATGCCTGCTATGCGAGGAGCACATATACACATACATGTACACATACACACACACATATATATATATACACCGACGCATATAGACACTGCACCTATAAATATATATATATATGTGCGTATATATATATATATGTATGTATGTATATATATACATACATACATACATAAATACATACACATACACATACACATACACATACACATACACATATACATATACATATACATATACATATACACACATACATATGCATATACGAGCTTTTACATATACATAAATAAATTAGTAGATGTGTCTATATATATACACACACATACATTTGTGGACACATATACACACATACACATATATGCTTCCCCCGAAGTCACACACACACACGCACATACATTGCCGACGTAGGGACGTGGATCCAGCGGCTCAGGGTGTGTAGGGCTTGCAGGGTTTAGTGGGCCCTAAGGGCTCATACTTAGGGCTGAGGGTTTCTATTTTGTGCTTGGGCGTTCGGATTAGGGATTGGTAGGGATCCCTGGGTTAATTATAAGCGGTCGTCTAAGTCTTCAGAAATTCAGGAATCGGCAAGCAAGACGCCTGAGACGCCTCATCTGCGCCAACTGAAACCCTGATCCTATTTGCAGGTCCTGCCACTGGAGGTCTGCCTGCCCGACCAAGGTGCCCTGGAAAGTTTGGCAGGGTTTGGGGTTTTCAACGATGGTTTCCTGATTGATACTTTTCGGTCTGCCCTGCTGCGGCTCTTCTTTGAGGGTTCAATGGTGCAAGTTTGGGCATGGTGGCCGAACCTTTCCGGAGTTGTGAGACTCAGAAGTGTGAGAAAACAGTTTGTCGCTTTCCAGGCCTCTTTAATGCAATGCTCGCACACTGCAGCATTCCGAGATCCGTGCATACAAGCGACGGCTACGCCTCAACGCAAAGCCTGACAAGATTCGAATGCACCCTTTTCGATCTTCACCTGCTAATTACCCTGATTTCTAACCTAACCCTAAACCCTAATCCCTAATCTAAATGCATGTTTTCATGATCCTAAAGCCGCGTGTGCCAGACAAGAAGAACAAGTGGCACAGAAAAATAGAGCGCCATCTGTCAGTTCAGCGTCTTACAAGCAAGAATTACTCCTCGAAGTACCAGGGGGGGTTCTAAGTGGCCATCATTTGCAAACCCTAAACCCTAAACCCTAAGGAAGATCATTGTTGAATCATAGATGGCATCTTGCAAATCATGGTTTCAGGGACACGTCTTAGTGCGCAGCTGTCGCAGCTAAACCCTAAACCCATCTAAACCCTACGCCTGTACAAAGGCTCCAATACAGGGGCCTTTATAATTACTTCTACTGTTTCGGTGGTTCCTTAGTCTGATTAGAGTATAATACACCCCAACACCCTACTCTAATTATTACGACTCCTACATTAGAGAACCCCAAAGCCCCTAAACCCCTAACCCTAAACCCTAAAACCCCTAAACTCCTAAACCCTAAACCCCTAAAGCCCAAAAAAGCCCCAACAGCCCCTAAACCCTAAACCCCCCTAAATCCTGAAGCCCTAAACCCCTAAACCCCCTCCCAAAAAAAAACCTAGAGAACTCTAGGACAGTATAGAAGGTCTATATACCCAAAAAGAAGCCTTATAGAAGCCCTATAGACCCTAAACTCCCCACCTCGAGTTTCCTTTAACCCCTAACCCTGAACGCTAAACCCTAAACCCTAAACCCCTAAACTTTAAACCCTAAACCCTGAACTCCCCACCTCGGGTTTCCTTTAAAGAGAACCGGAGGCTGTGAAGACATCCTTCACTCCCACAGCTGGCTGGAGACGCCCACGCTGTCTGCCTCCACGGAGGGGCGGTTTAGGGTTTAGGCTGCAGATTCAATTGGGGCCACGGTTGAGGGTTTAGGGCTTTAGGGCTTTGGGGTTTAGGGGTTTAGGGCTTTAGGGGTTTGGGGCTTTGGGGGTTTAGGGGTTTAGGGTTTAGGGGTTAGGGGAGAGTGCCACTTGAGGTGTTGTCCTCGGGGGTTTGGGGAGTGCAAGGCTGAACCGAACCCAAGGCCTGGAGTCCTTCCACCTTACAGCGGGCAAAAGGAAAGGTAGGGTTTAGGGCTTAGGGTTTAGGGTTTAGCATTGCATGTGCCGGATGTTTTGACTTCTACATCGCTCACATGGCCCGAAAGACCTACACAAGTCTACAAGGAAGCTCCACGAAGGTCCACAAGCAGTGTACGGGTTTCCAAAGTGTTGCATTCCATAAAGTAGGACTGGATTCCCAGACAGTTCGTTCCTTTGTGTCATTCAAACTTTCAAGGATTCTGAACGGAGCCCTAAACCCCAAAATTCAACTCTAAACCCTTCAGCCCTTGCAACAAAATCCCTAAACCCTAAACCCCTAAATTATAACCCCGACGACCCTCTTTACCAGGAGCCACACGGATGCGATGTCCGTTCTGTTCAGCGGGGGTTGCTTCTTCTTTCCTGGCGAAGATGTGAGGCCGGTTTTCATGATGCTGGCTTAGGGTTGAGGGTTTAGGGTGGTGATGGCGATGATGATGATGATGATGATGATGATGACAACGATCATGATGATGAGAGTCGGCATGGGGACGAGAATGATACTGATAATGACAACCGTGATTATCAGTGTTGTCGTTATTGTTATGGTTATTGCGACTACTATTACTATTGCTAAGACTAATGCTATAACCATGACGATTACCATTACTCTGACTATGACTTGTACTTCTACTACTATGATTCGTGTTGCTCCGCTGCTGCTGCTTCTGCTTCTGCTGTTGTTGTTGGTGGTAGTGGTGCCTCGAACCCTATGGTCTTGAACCCTGATACCTAATGACATCCGATGACCCGAAAGCCCAAATATTAAACTTAAGTACGCCTCCGGCCCAACTCAAAAGCCCGAAACGCCCGAAACCCGAAGCGCCAACTCCAAATTGAAGGTAAACCGCCTCACCACCCCCTGAAACCTAAACCAAATAAGGCTAGAGCCCTATACCCCTATAATCCTAAATCCTGGCACCCTAAACCCCTATAACCCTACAGAGCTCTATGACCCTAAACCTTAAAGACCCGCTCCCTACAACTCTTTTCACCCTCTAACCCCAGAAACCCCAAGCCCTAAACCCTAAGCCCTAGGCCCAAAGCCCTAAGCCCTAAACCCTAAGCCCTAGGCCCTAGGCCCTAAACCCTAAGCCCTAAACCCGAAAAACAAGTCCTAAGAAGGCCTCCGCCTGGGTCCGCCTACGGCTGCACGGCTTTCCACGGCCGGTGGAGTTGGCGCTACCAGGGGCCGACGAGATTCCAGGTAAGGGTTTCCGAAAATTCGGGTTCCTTTTGTTTGGGGGTCCTTGTAATGAGGACCCTACTATTTAGGGTACTATGTTAGGGATTCCAGGTGGAGCGCTTGAGTTTTGTTGAAGGGTTTACTTAAACCCTAAACCCTCGTTCAGGGCTTAGGGTTTAGGGTGGAGGGTTTGGGTTGCTTGGAGGTTTAGGGGTTTAGGGGGTTTGGGGGGTTTACGGGTTTAGGGTTGTAGGGTCTTCTTGGTTTATTGACTCTGTGCTTGTAGGGTTCTGGGTTTTGGGGCAGGCACTTCGCGCCTTGAGCTTTCGGCATTGCTGCATCCGTTTACCGCTTCCATGGAATGTTAAAACTACAAATCTTAGGGTTTAGGGTTTAGGTCGGAGCCCGAAACACCCGAAACCCGAAACC